AGTGGTGGTCTCGTGGTAAGAAAGAGCGGGGAATTTTGATATTTGGTCCAAATTTAAAGAGTTATGTTTAGAAAGCCTGACGTTAGGGATTACATTTTTATCCTTGATACAGAATGCAGATTGAATAACGCATATAGAAGTAAATTTGAAATTGATTAACTTTATGTGCTAAGTATTATCAGCATTTCTGCAAAAGTAGGAGATACTCATACAATCAATTTCCTTCTGACCACTTCATTTTTAAGCGCTTAGCGTAAAACGCTTATAGGCAGCCTACAACTGCTTCCGATCCAGCGCCACTAAACAAGTTCAATAACTTTACTGAGTCTTCTAGAAATATACTTCTTGAAATCTCCGACTTTTTCAGCTATTTTAGTTTCACACAGTTACATGCAGTTCTAGTAATAAGTGTTAATCGGTATGCCCAAAATTGAATTGACCTTCATATTGTCTTCCAACAATTTTTTTTATTAAAATAGAAAAGAGCTAGGTTCACTTTATGCATAAAGTGGCCCTGTAGATATACCAATTTATTGACTAATACCCCGTGTACCATTTTCAACATTAATATAAAGAAGAGACTTATTGCTTCCAATTTATATAACAGAATTTCCTTTGAAGAGCCCAGACATTGAAAAACAGGTTGTGTGAAATTGCAATGTTATTGTCTTTTGCAGAAAAAAGGGTGTTTTTGAGAACCTTCAGCAAAGAATTAAAATATGAGCACACCCCTCGATCCAAAAATTAAGATATGTTTTATAATCTTCATTAACAGTTCTTTTATAATATATTTACACATTTTGGATCTGAGGTTGTGCTGTACACGAAATATTGAAAAAATTGCATCATATTTTGACCATTTTTGAAGAAATATTCAGGATATGTGAATAATGACGCAATTCATGACGTCATAAAGCATTGACTAGAAAGAAAATTACGTCATTTTCAGTAGATATTCATTCAACAAGTGCTCAAGTATTATTTATTGCCTTGTTGATTAAAACTATACAGGTTTGAATTTTAAGAAATTCAAAGGGCCAAAAAGGCCCTAAGTGGCTCTTGCTCTTTGGTGTTATAACTACTTACAGAAATATGGAACTAACAGAGAAATAACAGGTCGATTATTTTTCAGTAGTCCATTCCATATGCCTTGAACACACTGGTCCTGAGTCCATGCTGTTCTTATTATGTTTTGCGTGGTAGGTAATATCATAAATCGATCAGTATCAAATTAAATCACGCTCAACAACAGCCAATCTTGAATTAAAATAAAAATTATACTATACCTCAAAATTGCGAGCAGAAAATGAATTTATTGTTAAGGTTATTAAAATATATTTTTGCAGTCGGTATGGCACATTAAAGAAAGTAATACTAGCGACATTTTTTAAGTGTTCACAATTTGTTGAAATGTAACATTTATCCTGCTAATTTATTACTACAGTGCAGGGAACTAATTTTGTTACATAAACCAGCATCAGCATAAGCATTAGTAGCATCAGGATCGAGCTAGCATCAGCATCAGCATTTAAAAAACAGCATTACCAGGATCAGCATCAGCAAGCAAAGGATAAAACCAGCATTGACCTACATAAAATCAGCATTATCCTACTAGCATCAGAAAATCAATGAGTTTTAATTCAGTAAAGAATTAAAAAAGAAAGAAAGAATATTGGTTAAAGTATTCACATTATTGATACATAGTGAGATATTATGATCAAATAATTGTAAAAGGCACTTTTGTTGCTTTAAACGGCAATGCTGAAATTCATTATCTACTTCCGGTAGCATGATGCTACTTCCGGTAGCATTGACCTAATTATAAAACAGCATCAGGTTAAGGATTACTAGCATTAAATCTGCAAGCAAAGGAAGCATTCAAATCAGCAAGCAAAGGAAGCATTCAAATCAGCATCGATGCTGTAACAAAATTAGTTTCCTGCACTGTACATGTACAATTTGAATTTGGTCGGAAAAATAATTTCCAACATTTTCTTCCTCCTTGCTTGCGATTTATACATAGAGCTAGGTCTTAAAGATTCCTAGGAACGATAAGATTTCTACTTGTAAGGAGCGCTGGAAAAGTATATTTTGAATTCTATTTTTGCTTCTTCTTTCTCTCTTTTAGGATTTAGAACATGCGTTTATTTTGGACTGATTATCTACCACTTCCTCTATACTAGGTTAATGATTTTTTTAAAGATCATCTGTCAGTTTTATGTACATGTGATTGACCATTTAATACATTAGATTAAGCTTACTTTAAATAAAGGTGAAAAGACACGATGTTGAATTTCAAAATGTTGAAAATTTTAGGGAAAATTTCTGGCTGTAGAACTGTAGTTCATTCACCAGACGAACCAGAGAACTACAGATCCAACCTTTGTTAAAACCTTCTATTTACGGCGCCGCTTTTTGTCGCAGGTTTTGGGTATTATTTCTTGTATTATATGCGTTTCCCCGCCGAAAGCATGGTATCCATTAAGATCCCCAAAAGCTTCAGATTTAATGAAAAATAATACATACCCCTTGAATTATAAGTGTATTTAGGCATAATTTCCGCATGGTATTAATTTACACGATCACAGATTTTCCACGGAAATCTCTCTTAATGTACTTAATGAAATATGGATAGCTAAAAATAGTCAAGGTCATAATATAAGTCCATTAAAACAAACCAGAAAGGGAGCAGAGCAAACACGGATAAAACGGAGGTGGGACTAGGTGCCCCGTCGATCAGTCAAACCCGCTGTATCTTCTTGTCCATAGAAATAATTCGGTGTGAAAATAATGTTCTAACAATTTGTATGAAAAACGAAATATTGACTTTAAACGAGACTGTTGATATCCTTGTTTCTTCAACTTATTTGTCAATACTAGAAATTGTTCATACGTAGAGGATGCTCTTGCATATCGAAACAACTGGGAGATCTATACATAAATATAAATTCAATATGCAGGTGACAAGAGTATATTGCTACATAAATAAGGGAAGTTGACGATAGAAAAGTCGTGTAAAAGTTTTTAAATAAATTCTGCTTCATGTTAATACAAAAATAGGTCTACTAAAAACAGAGCACAATAAGTACCCCTTCGAAATTCCGACATATTGTTGGAAGACTTGTCCAAAAACTGTCGATATAGATATAGATATGTTCTACAAGAATTTCAAGCATATTTTTAAATATCATCTTCGGAATACTTGTGTGTATACTAAGTAATCAGAATGTGTTTGAAGAAAAAAATTTTGCAAATGACCAATGACAAGGTAAGTAAAGTTACGAAGTATATTGAAGGTATATGGTGTTTATCTAAGAAATCCGCGTAATTCCCTATAGATTGAACAGAGATTTTGATTCCGTGGAATTACGACCCCTACGAAAAGTACGTTTAAAGCATTACATTTGGTTTGCAGAGCAGTATGTGTCATAATTTGTGACCTTAGCACGACCTCACATTAGCTCAGTCGGTAGAGGCTAGCTCCGTGATTGGAAGATTGCAGGTTCAAGCCCTTGCCGCGAGAAAGCTAAGTCGATAAAAAAAAAATAGGTGTCTTAAAAACCGAGGATCCTCATGAGGGTAGGCGTTGGCATGATAAAGATCCCTCCCTTCTCAATGGCCATCGGTGCCAATGCAAGTAAATGTCTAAATTTGAACTGTATTGTTACGTCTCTATACGTGTGAAAAATTCTCGAATCAATGAATCAGCCCTTGAAGAGTTATCTCCATTTCTCTCTAATCAATAAAAATCAATTTTAAAAAATCTATGCAGTAAAAATCATTTCAAATCTTTATTCTACTCCTAATTAATAAATACATCTTTCCACCGCAGCATTTAATGATATTCTTAATATTTCAATTTTTATTTTTTTAGAGATTTACCCGTCCCCAGAGACCTCAATGCGATCTTCATTGATCAATTTCTGTTTAAGCAATTACAAGTCATATTTTAAATACTCTTGAGGAAAATCATGTCTACTGTAAAACGCTTTAAACTAATATCAGAGTATTTTATACATGATGGATAGGGAATTAAGTTCTATCAGTGAAGGAATATCTTAGTTGTCAATGTATTTCACTCCTAATCTTGTTACTTCGGTCTTGGAATATCAATTAAAAAACTGCATTCCGCCTTCCATGTTGGGGTTGTGCTAAAGTACGCCGAGAAAATGTTCACGCCCGTGTTTTATATATCTAATTTCTTTTTAATAACAAATTGAATACACCCGGTAAAGCGTGAGCATAATTTAAAACAGAGATCCCATGTAAACACAGGTATTTTGCATTATGAAGTCATTGAATATTGAGAATGATCATGCTAGTTCAAATCACTGAACTGAAGTTTATTCTTGAACAGGAAAATTCAAAATTGTAATTGCGGCTAAACCCCTTTTATCGAATGTTCTATTTTCTAGCATAATTATGATGAGGTTAGGGAAGAATAAAAAAAGCATGTACTTATTCCGGTACAACAGAAAATTTAAATTTAAACTACATATTGCACAACTGCATTTTTAAAATCCATTGTTTATCGCTTCCTAGTACTTTCAGTACCTTGATTGATTAGGGCTACGATTTTTGTAAAATCGCTGATTTTCTCTCGGCTTGGACATACATTGCATATGACTATATATCATTCTTGATGCTTGTTGAGCAAAGTTGATAATTTGTGTCGTATAAAATAAAATATATGGAGATAACGAATAGTATTCAAGCTCAAAAGTCTATTCAAACAATACAAATCAGAAGCAGAGCAAACATGGACCTCTGAAACATCAGAAGTGCATGAGATCAGGTGCCATGGAGGATTGAGCATCCCCTGCCGACCGGTCACTCCCAGCGTGTGCTCCTTGTCATGATAATAACGGAAAAGTCCGTCGACAATTTATTATGTAAATTATGGCCTAACAATTAGTTTGAAAAACGTCAGTCAGCATTTGACTTCATGATAAATTGTATTTGCTGACAAGGTCAGATGAAACTTGAATTGAAGCAAGATCATGTCAAATAAGAGTCAAGAGGAGTACATGTGGTATGGTACAACAGGGCAATTATTGTTTACTTCCTGATCATTAATAGTATATCCACCTACGGTTATCTTTTTTTACCCATATATGCTGGAAAATTACACATTAATTTTCAGATTTCTTCTTTTTGTCTTTTGACAGATATTATTCTCCAGAGGGAGGCAAAAAATGTTAGAAAATGTTAGATGAATACAAAATCTGCATATAAACGTAGTTTGAAAAATTACATGTAGTAATAACCTGTTTGAAAGATACATAAAAGAGTTATGTAAATGAATGAAAAGATGAGGGAAAAAATATTTGACGTCGAAAATTCAATGATATGTTATTGTAACTAATGGTAATGGCAAAAATATGTGTTCTTGAAACTCCGAAGATGCATGGAATCTATATACTCTGTTAAATATATATTTGCACTGTTTTCTATTTAATGGAAAGGCATCCTCTGGATGATTGAAAAAAGAACATCCTGACATGCATAAACGTTTTAAAAAAAATTATTTATTTATTTATGATGATTCTTTTGGAGGAGATGTAGCGGATGAAATTGGAAATCATAATGATACTTAATTTAATTTAAAAAAGGAAACCATTGGCTGAATGCAATCGTGCCCGCCTTCAAAATTCATGTTTGGACACACCTCACAAACTAACAGAAAAATTCCTAGAGATTATACCAGATCTTCAGGAATTGGAGACTGTTCCTTCGCCTAGAATAATGGGGTCCCATCTTCCAGTTAAATATATTCCAAAAGAAAACAAAGGAAAAATTATCCATTCCGTTCGTAATCCGAAAGATATTGTCTTGTCTGCTTTTCATCATTACACAACCGATCCATATGTGAAGAACTACGTGCATCCTGACTGGCCCAGTTTCGTTGATGATTTCCTAAGTGGGGGTAAGTTGAATTCATTGTTGTTTTCTGACAATTTCAGTGTTATTTGACCCTTATTATCTTGAACTACAAATCTTCATTTACTTTGCATTGTGAATGAAAAGCTATAGCGAATGCGTAACTTTTGAACTTTATTGAGAATACATGTAAGTATTCTTCATAATCTGTTCAAATGGAGAGTGATACAATTGTTGTACATTGTTAATAACCTTGTAGTGTTTCAATATGCTAACAAAAATCTAGATCCTTAAAATGTATCAATAGGTTATCCGAGACATAAAGAATGTCTTATGTATTCTTTGTTGATATTTCATCCATTTTTTAGACTGTTACTATGGAAGTTGGTTTGAAAGAGAGAAAGAGTGGGAAGAGGCAGCACGACAAAATCCCGAAAAGATTTTGATTGTTTATTATGAAGATCTTAAGAAGGTATGTTCAACAAAGTGGCTTTTTGCGTTAACATCCCAAGGCATTCTGTTGTAATTAATGCCATTTTTTCTTTAATTAAAAAGATACTTGACCTATGTTGTTTTAATCTTTAATTTAGAATGCTATAGAGACGATGCTACAGATATCCAATTTTCTTGGAACTTCGTCTGATCCTAAATTTCTTCAGGCTGTTTATGATGCTTGTACCTTTGATAAAGTAAAAGAAAGAGAAAAGGATACGATGTGGAAGTTTATCTACCGAAAAGGTTAAAACTATTGTGCTCTAATTCGTAAATGAAATATCTTTTCAGATATGTATATTACAATCTGAAGAAATAAACATTTTGTTATATTACACGTTCTGAATGTTTATCTTCATATTACAGGAGAGGTTGGTGATTGGAAATCGATGTTAACTGAGGAACAGAATAAGAAGTTTGATCAGGTCTTCAATGAAAAAATGAAGGATTCAAAATTAAAATTCAATGGAATTAAATGGATATTGATAATATTCATAGGATTTTGTACATTTATTGATTTTGTTTTGTATATTAAACTAAAAAGTAATATTTATGTTTTCCCCCAATAACCATTATGAATAAAATACGATATGAAATTATAAAATTGCCCTTAAACAAAATGAAATTGAAAACTTCAAATTTTCTATTGCTTTATTTGTCAAATGTTACGCTGTAATATAATATATTGCTTTATTTTAAAATCAATTTCTAAAGAGAGGTAAACCTCATTAAAGAGAGAGAGAGAGAGAGAGAGAGAGAGAGAGAGAGAGAGAGAGAGAGGTCAAAAAGCAACAAGTAGTAATTAGATTTTGTTTTGCACTTAGAAAACCTCTAAAACAATCTGAAAAATGCTGGAGGAACCAATATATATATATATATATATATATATATATATATATATATATATATATATATATATATATATATATATATATATATATATATATATATATATATATATATATATATATATATATATATATATATATATATATATAAAAAATAATAATAATAATAATAACTAGAAACTCATTGCTAGCAATGAGAGGTCTTCCGTCCGATTCTGAAAATAACAACAGAAATTCACGCTGAAAAAGTGATAAATGAAATTCAACTTGAAAATCCAACAAAGCTAACCATTAACCATTCACTTTTTTGCATCACTTCCTGTCACGACCGGAAGTAACGGCGATACAAGATTTTCTAAAGATTCAAATAAACTGATGAGTGTCGTAAGTTCTATGGTCAGCAAATACAATTTATCATTAAGTCAAATGCTGACTGACGTTTTTCATACTAATTGTTAGGCCATTATTTACACATTGAATTGTTGACGGATTTTTCCGTTATTTCCCGATCATGACAAGGAGCACACGGCGGGTGTGACCGGTCGGCAGGGGATGCTCACTCTTCCATGGCACCTGATCCCACCTCTGATGTTTGGAGGTCCGTGTTTGCTCTGCTCCTATTTTGTATTGTATAATGGACTTTTGAACTTGAATACTGTTCGTTATCTCCATATATTTCATGAGTGACTATCAGACCTGAAAGTTGAAGACTTCAGTCGTTTACTGTTGCCGAGGAATATTGTGAGATCAAATTCTAATTTTTAGGACAGGTAAACACTCATCCGGAAGTGAATTTTATAAAAAATCTCTGCAAACTTTTTCAATCAAAAAGATGAAAACATACATAGAACTCTTAGAAGTCTCTCTATTAACCCTGTAAATCCCAGAGAAAAATATTGAAAAACAAAAAAGTTGCAAATTTAACATTTTTGAATTCACTTCCGTTTGCGACCGGAAACAAAAAATAATGGTCGATCACCATATCTACATTTGATGCTCTCTCAATTCAGCAAGTTTCATATTCATATCTTTAGCCATTCTCTGATGATACTGTTTACTTTCTTTTATTCTTTATGTATTGAACTTAATATTTCATGTAATTCCATACACAGGCATGTCCATGTAATCTTTTTCTGCACTTCTATATACTTCTGCATCAGACCATTTGTGTACTACGAAAGGATGGTAACGATGCATCATTTCGCGCGGATAAATATTCGCGCATTTCCTTTGGAATGTATTTTTTTATTGAATGGTGATAGCTTCAATGAAATTTCAAAATGTATGTTCTTATAACCTGAATATCGAGCTTTAGAAAGTATATTTATCATATTGTACTTATAATATATCGTATGGTATATCGTAAGTAACACTAAAGCAGTGATTTAGGTAAGATTTTCTACAAGTTTTATTTTCCTGTTTACCCCCAAAGTGGACTATCCCGATTAGTTACACATTCATGAAAAGACTGGAATGTTTCGCCCAAAAACATGGCTCGTCCTCCGACGGTTAAGGAATCTGATACCATTTATGTTCAATAACAATATCTTTTAGAAAAAAAAATATTTATATCAACTTCATTCAACAATCTTTAAAAAATGGTTTTCTTATTTTTGTCTTTTCTGTTCATTTAATATGACACAAGCTTGCATGAGGAAAAAAACAATGGTCCACGTAATAATTACTATATATTGATTGCTTTAGTTAGGCAAGTTTCTTGAAAAGCTATTACTTTTAACCATGGTTTAGGATCAGTTTTTCCGTGGTGTAAAACAAAAGGTTGTAGTTATCGTATTTCCACTTGTAGTCATGTCGTTTTCTACTTTGAGATACAGACAGGAACAGTTATAGTAGACGTTTGAGGAAACCTCGGATTAAAACTCTAGTTCGAAACAGAATTGCAACGTAATTGTGACGTGACAATCCAACAATTCCTTCACATTTCTTTGATTCTTATGGTAGTTTCATTCAAACAAACGCTCGACTGACTCCGTAAATTCCGACCTACTTATCGGAGTTTACGGAGACAGCCGCCATTTTGGACTACCGCTTCAAATTTAGAAATGCGAATATCTAGAGTTTGGATTGATCAATTCTAAAATAAATTATATATTAAGCATTTTCAGAAGAGCCTCTATTACCCTTATTAAAATAAAAGAGAATATAGAAAAACAAAAAAAGTTTAAAAATTCGACTTTTTAAAATTCGCATCCTGTAACGACCGGAAGTACTGACGACGCACAAAAAGGTAATTCTCCTCATCTAGAAGACATAACCTATCATCTCTAACAAGTCTCCAGTTCATATCTTAAGCAATTTTTGAAAAAAAAGGGAGGACAAAATTTCATTTTAAAATCAGAAAACTGTCAATAACTTGGCACCGGAAGCGAGTTTTCCAAATTTCCCTTCTGATGAACAAAGTACATTTGACGACGCATAATTCCTAAAAGTTTCATTTAAAACCACTGAATAGTTTTTGAGAAATCGCCTGCACAAAATTTTGGGGAAAAAAAAAATAAGAAGAAGAAACAGTAGAATCACTATAAAGTCTTCCGTGAAGACGGAAGACCTTAATAAGCTGTGGTTTTGAATTGAATAGGAAGCTTGTTCAATCAAAGAAATGAAGTTGAAGAAGTAGACTTTGCCTGCCTTCTGTTATTTACTGCTGTCATATCTTCCACCATCTCTCCAGGAGGTATGGAAAAATTGCCCAAATCCTGCTGGTCGATCTGGATTAAGGTGTGATCCTTGATCAGCAACGATTTCTGTGTGTCTTTGAGAAAGAAGTCATAACCTCTCTTCCTTAACAGAATTTCTGAATGAATGGATTGAAAGCCGATTCCTTGTCAATAAAGTCTTTCAGAGAAGGTGTCAGGAAGGCAACATTCTTGACTAAATTATTGAACATTTTCTTTTCCATTTATCTATGGTACTTTTTTATGTTGCCTTTGATGGTCTTGAAAATTGTAGGACCATTAATCAGTAAGTCAATTTCTCATCTTTTCTCACTTTTTTCTATATGTTTACTGATGTAAGCTGACCAACACTAAGTCAAAAGCAAAAATCTTTCGACATGGTGAGGTGCAAATTTTAAAATATCTAAAACGTTGAACTGATGACTCAAAAGATTGATCAAGATGATTTTCTGCATCAAAGAGCAATGATTCTTGAAAATATTTTTTTCTAGAAGAGAATCATCCAACTTCATGTAATCAAGATTAATTTGTTTTACGGTGTGACCGTTGGGGCGAGCGCAGTTGTACCATCCACACTTGTAAACTTTGATCCGCCTCTTCAAAGTTCCAAACCGCACGAGACACAGTCTAGACTGTGACGTCATATGACGTCGGAATTCACGGAGACAGCCAGGCGTCTGGTTGAACGAGACTACAAGCCTAGTGCAAATTTTAATGAAATACATTGTAGAGTAAATGCAATTATTTTTTTGTTAATTTTAAGCTCTCGGGAAACTGCAGGCCTTTTATATTTTATATTATTTTTATCGCCATTATCGCATGGAATCCTGGTAGTGAAGGAATTCTGGGAAGGTTTCACACTGACATTTGCCTGACGTATATGTCATTCCGAATTTCCTCTGTTCTTACACGTTAGTCTATTGAGCTTGCTTCGCGAGCGGCGCTTCGCGCCGCTCGCTCCGCTCGCTATTAGATTTTATATCAAATATTGAATTATTTATTTAGGACAGGATTTAATTTATGTTTTATTAGTCGGTATAAAACATACACAGTTTATTAAATCATCATAGCAATATTTAAGGTGTATTACGAGTAAAAGTAGGTACGAATTAACTTTTACTGTGCACCGGAAGTTACCCCCTTTTCAAACCAGCAGATTTTGCAACCAGACGCTTTTTCGAAGACGAGCAAAACATCCATTGCCACCAGCATCTCATTTTAAGAGGGAACTACAACTAAGAAGTGGAATATTGTGTGAAGGGATCAAACCTCCCTGTATCTATAATTTATTGAATATCTTTGATCTCAGCAGTCTTTTTGCTGTGTTCAATGAAAGCTTTTTCTGCTATCGTCCTTACTGGGTATGGTTGAAAATGACTAGCTTTGACCTCTTCATTCTTAAAGATAGGTGCTTTAAAGATGTTTTCATTACTGGCTTTAACAGGAGACTGTAAAATACAAACATTTCTTCAAATATATTTTTCAAAGAAATCTTTTTTTTGTGCATACTGGTATTTTTTTAACTACTCTGTAATAATTTTCATAAAACAATTTTTCTATGACATTTTACACTTCCTCGATTTTTATACATCATATGAAGAATCACACATCATGTACATGTGATAAATTACGGCAGGGTTTTGATATCTCGATTTTCTTGTTTAACTCTACAATGCCTGGACATGGAAATATAACTGAACAGCTTCAAGTTGTATCTGCTTGACTTTCTTGCGCTTGAACTGAAACGTATATTGAATATGAAAGTCATTGGTTTATCAAAGTATCAGCCAAAGTTTATAATATCTAACAAGAATTTCAAGAAATGAGTCATCAGCGCTGTGTAGTGTGACTC